TGTAGCTGATTATTTTTGGGCGCAATGAAAAACTTTTATGGATATCAATACCTAAAAAATCCTAAAATGATTTTTTTATCCTCTGGCCACTTAGCACAAGGTAACAAAAAATCTGGTTGCTCTAAAATTTTGAAATCAAGTATGGCTCATATACTTCCATATATCGATAATAACGCCTGTAATTTGTGTTCCTGTCCCTGAGCCGTATTTGAATAAATTGAGGTTTTAGTTTTTACACAATTCATCGATTCTCTAACAGTCAGTAACGCTAAGAGTATCGATGTTAATATAGGTGGTATTAAACTAAACATGAGGGTTTCGTTCATCCGACCAAAAAGACAGCGAACCATGTTCAGCTGTTTCGTGCTTTTTGGCTCAACAGCGTGGTCTAGACTTGGCCTTTTGTTTCTGAACGAATGAATACCAGCATCGCAACTATCCTCTATACCGGTCTATCTAAATAAGAAAGCGCAAGCGCCATCTATCACACCTCAACCACTGCGATTTCTGCAAATGGTGCTTTGCGCTGTCTTATAGGTGCTATTGTGTTTAAAGTACCCAGTCTACCTACTTAACTTCAATTGTGGTGCTCAAATTAGCGACATATCCGACGAGAGCTACTTAAAAATCTTGCCAGGTGGCGGTAAAAGTACGCCAACGGGCCACTTTAGATCTATTTAATATCATTAACACGCAAAAAAAGGTGGTAGACAAGGACCAGTCGACCGAAGCGGTACTACCCGCTAGCTTTTCCCAGGGTGTCTTCTAAGTGTTTTGTTGATGATGACGAATCCTCGAGTACTAAGAATTCCGGACGTAAACTCACTCCACTCTCGGAATGTCCGTGTGAAGGATGGGCTCGAGGGAACAACACCGAAGATAAAATTTGTTTTACGAACATCTGCGGGATTAACAGCAACATTGATGATGTTCATCACGACCTGCAATCCAATCGTCTCGCAATGCTTTTCTTGGCGGAAAGAAAAATCTCAGAGTCTGCACCGATTATCCATCTTAACTTCCCAAATTACGAGGTGCACTCCAATCTGAGAAAGAACGTGGGTGTTGTGGCTTTTGTCCGCAGCAGGCTTTCCTGCTCTAGAGATGTTTCTTTGGAATTAGACCGGAAGGACATTCTGTGGCTTTGCCTCAACTCCAAAACATCACCCAAATTAGGCACAGGGTAATGTCGCAGCGCAATGGCAGTCGGTCATTCTGGACGCGGGCCAAGCAGATTGAAAATAACTTCTCGCACAGTAACCTTCCACCACTTAGGTGTCAGGATGGAACGATTGTATTTGACTCAAAGGTCAAGGCGGAAGAGCTTGTCAAGATCTTTGCTACCAACTTCACCATGGACGTCCCCCTGAACGCCCAAGTGCTGAGAATTCAATGGGTTCCCTACACTATGCCGGAGGTAACATTCAGGCATAAGACCGTAAGATAAGTGCTCTTGTCGCTCGACATCAACAAAGCTTCTGGTCCGGACTTGATTTCTGCCATTGTACTGAAGAGGTGTGCAGCAGAGCTTGCTCCAGTTCTTTCGCGTCTCTTAAAGATATCTTATAAATCCGGTACCTTACTAGAAAACTTGAAATTTGCTCAAGTCCAACCCGTCTCAAAAAAGTATCTAAGACAGACTCTTACAACTACAAGCCTATATCTCTGCTTTCTGTTATAAGTAAGGTGGTGAAGAGGTGCATAAATCGCAAGCTTCTGGACTACCTTGAACGTCACAGCTTGATTAGCGACAGGTAGTATGGTTTCCGGCACCAACGATCCACAGGGGGCCTCCTAGCCTACGTCACGCAATTGTGGAGTAAGCTCATCCGGTCTTATGGTGAGGCTCCTATCGTTGCTCTTGACATCACGAACGCGTTCGATTAGGTTTGGCACGCTGCCTGTTAAGCAGACTTTCATCCTGTGGATTCCCAGAAAAGCTTTGCAGTTGGGTGTCTGACGTTATCTCTGGCGGCAAGATATCCGTCGTAACTGACGGGTTCTCCTCTTCATCCCACAAAGTCAACGCGGGTGTTTCCCAGTGATCATCTTGGCTCCAGCATTGTTCCTCTTACATATCAACGACCTCCTTTCCTGCACGATCAACTCAATCCACAGCTTCGCTGATGACAGCACTCTATATGCAAGAATTCAGAGTGACAACGCGATCTGGAGGCTATCACTGCTTGGAGACGCAACAATATTGTACAGCTTAATGCTTCTAAAGCACAGTACTTACTTCATCCGGTTTCGATGGATGGCCGAGTTCTGCCAAAGAGCCATTCATTTCGGATGGTCGTTGTCCAGATCACCGATGTAGCACGACCACATCTCGTCAATAGCGGCAGCTGCCGGAAAAAAGCTAGGCTATTTGTTTAGGGCTACGGAGCAATTTTCTCCGCATGACCTTCTCACTCTATACAAGGCCCAGATAAGGCCTAGCCTCGAGTATTGGTCACACATTTGGTGTGCTGCCACCCCGACTACATTATTTATGCTCGATGCTGTCCAGAGGAGGGCGGTCCGACTGATCGATGACTCTTCTCTAACAGTCTCGGGACTCTTTCACACCGTCGGGCCGGCGGCGATCTAGCTCTTTTCTACTGCTACACCAAGAGGCTTTGCTCCTTAGAGCTCTCTTCCATGATGACGCCGCGCGATGTGCCTGCCAGACAGACCTGCCTGACTTTGGCGTCCCATCCGAACCGTGTCGAACTTCGTACATCCTGAACTGGCGGATACGACCGCTCGTTTGTCCCGAGGGCGTCGAGATTGTGAAACAATCTACAAGAGGAAGCTTTTCCCAGTTCTGCAAACCTTAGTCAATTTCGTTGGGATCATTATAGCAGCCGCGGTGTTCCGGCATTTAGGCTTCTGCCTGCGCGGCTGCTTCGATATATATATAAAGAAATGGTGTGCCTGTTTCTATTTCTAGTCTTGTTTCTTTGTACAGAGAGAATGTATATAAGTTTTTGGTCAACACATTTCTCAGCAAAATCATGCTTATCGTTATTCGGAGTCGGAGCAGTAGCCACCTGCCATTCCGTAAGATTATTAACCGCTGTACATACAAGTATTTGATTGTTTTTTGTATTTTGACTATGCTTGCTTTTATGCTGTTTGTTTAGATTTGTGATCTTGCGGATCACAACGCACAGCATGCAGAACGTCGCGTCGTACGAAATTCGATCGCGAAGTGAGCCTATCTTCCTGAGTTGTGGTATCATGAGATTTCATGACTCCTACAGTTGTATGATTACTCATTATTTATTTTCGGCGTGTCTCGCATGATAAAATATATCTATTTTCAATTCTATCAACCTTTCAAGACGTAAATTATACATTGTAGGTGTTGCATATGAATACCTTTCCCAGTCAGCCATCCATGGTAGAATCGTCTGGCCTCCGCGCATCTATGTGACCTGTTATTGCCTACTGACGGTGTCGTCCTTTGGCATAGGGAAAGGGGAATGGGGGATGAGGAATGGGGAATGACGATAGGCTAGTGTTGGTTGTCGCTGGACCGTGGCTGATCCCATCCGCGGATCAATTACACCACGAGCCGCCAGTCAAAGGCGACCTGAACATACCCCCTTTTTTACACCCTTTTTACTTCGCAGTCATGTGCTTACGAAAAAATTGTTTCCCGAGGCGCCTGATATATGGGAAATACAAATTTGGTGAAATTTGTTCCACGACGGTATGAACGCATCTCGTTAATAGCGGCAGCTGCTGAGAAAAAGCCCGGCTATTTGCATAGGGCTATGAAACACTTCTATCCATAACATGTTCTCGTCATCGGTACAAGTTCCGGATAAGACCTAGCAGATAGTACTGTTCACATATTGGGGTGTTGCCACGCCGATTACATTATCCATGATGTTGTTCAGAAGAGGGCTGTCCGACTTATCGCTGACTCTTCTCTAATGGACAGTTTCGGGATCTAGCTCTCTTCAACAGCTACGCCAACAAGCTCTGATCCTCAGAGTTCTCCTCCATGATGCTTGATACATGTCTGACGCCAGCTTCTCATTCTAACTGTGTCGAACTTCGTACAACCAGAACTGTTCGATACGACCGCTCCTTTGTCGCTAAAGCATCAGGATTGTGGAATCCACAAGAGGGGCATTTTTCCAGTTCTAATAATGCTGGGCAGTTCAAAGATCGGATTAACAAAATTCCTTCAAGCTTCTCATAGTAGCAGCAGTGCCCTGGCATTCTGCCTGCGCGACTGCTTAGGTGTAAACAAAATCAATTTATTCCATCTACTTGAATCTGCATATTTTGCTGACTGTCAAATGAAACCACCTAATATCTTACATCGAATGCTTACCAACGTTTCGGCAACTTCGAAGGCATTTTCCATTTCCAGTTTTGACACTTACAACTATTCCAGAAACTCCTGGGGTAAAGTGAACACACATCACAAACAGTTACGTATTCAGATTCATACAGATATCTGTACTGAAAAGAACGCTTACAAATTCTGAAGTTTTTTCATTACACCTCTGAGAGTATACATTACAATTACTGTTTTTGTCAATCCGCAACTATGCACAAATTAATTTGTTCATGGATGATTTTTCGGATGTGTACATCCGCAACAGCGAGTATGTTTAGTAAACAACAACTTGAGAGATAGGAAAAATGGGCGCCGGCCGGCGCATCTCCTCCATACGTAGAGCAGACATAACTAATTTGACTCCAGCACCAGCTGCTAACCAACTACAGGATAGACAGTTATAGGCAAATTCAGTCCTATCCACGGTACTGCTCCTTTGTTCTCTCAAGCGGCCTTAGAGCCCCATTTAGTGGCGTTCAAGTGGAACAAGCCGGATTGGTGAGGTATCTCCGATCGCTTTCCAGTTGCATCACGCCGTCTCGTGGGTATATACCACGGCACCACCGTGCGAGGACAGTAACCTGTATTCGATTTTTGGAATGAGCGTATCCGCAACAGCGAGTATGCTTAGTAAACGACAATTTGAGAGATGGAAAATAGGCGCTGGCGGGATTCGAACCCGCATCTCCTCCATTCCGTGGAGCTGTCCTAAACAAATAGCTTATAGCACCAGCTGCCAACCAACTTTCAGGATCAACCTTCTCATGGTAAAAATGTCTAATTTCTAGGGAGGCAGTTACGTGGCGAAGACTCCCACTTGCAACGCCGTTGGAATGCTATCACTATTACCCATTCCAGCCTATATTTATTGCTTCTGAAACGTCCCTGTTTTCCATTTCTCCCTATAATGCCTGCTTGAATCAATGGAGAAACAGGTGGCTAAAAATAATAAATAAAACCTCCATGATGCGCAGACAGGCGACAGGCCGTCCGCTGTTCTCTCTGTAGATTGTTCTACATCGTTTCGTTCTATATTGCCAGCTCATGCGACACTAATCCCACTGCTACTGGCTGCCGCCGTTGCGGTTCACTTCTCTCAAGCTTCTCCATCTACTCTCTGATACTCTATAAAACTATCCCACATGCATGTCTTGTATTATTATCGCTATTGAACTTCCGCTGCAAAGCTAAATTCAGGTCGAATAGGTAATTTTCCGGTCAAAATGGCTTATCAATCAATAAGCTACTTAAAATAGATGATAGTGAGCACACTGGCGATTGTTTTCTAATACGCTGTTTAGTAAACACGAAAATACCTCCAATTGCGACGAACCTATGGAAAGCTTCGATATTTGGATAAAACTAAAGGAAGCAATTCTTCACTTCTTTGAAGCCTCCCTATTCTCTCCATCCTTGATGCTACCATAACACATCGTACTGCTAACGTCTTCGAATACGGAGGGATACGCACCGATTTTGCCGATACACGCACGCCGCGTTAGCAGTGGCTTACGATGCTTTATGTTATCCTTTTTTTCCTTTTTGGTACCTAATGCAGTCCCACTCTATGTCTGTCGCTGCTGACCGGCAGATCGACGGTGGCTGGGGGAAGATGACACGACGCCAAGACGCCAATGCTTTCAACCGATTCAACGCAGCGCAATAAGACGTTATATTTGTTTGTTACTTAAGATTGTTGGAATATATATTTATTACTGCAAGTAGTATTGATCGACTAACGGCTCACCATCCTAGACAACATCAGAAGTGTGTGTTTTACGGTGGTTCCCAATTTTAGCAAATATTCTGCAGGCTGTTGTTTGCTCAGAGATTGGACAAGATGCCAAAGCAAAAGCAAAGGAAATCCAGAAAACGAAGTAGAAGAGAACCTTCCTCGTCTTCAACAACCAGTAGTTCTTCCGGCAGTTCTAGCAATAGTAATGGGCATAAACATAAGAGATCCAGGTGTAAGTCAAGGGAAACCGTGAGTAGCGAACATTATTCTACTTTTACGAGGGCCGATCAGGGAATACATATTTCGATGGTAATTCCAGAATTTGATCCGAAAATTAATGACATATCAGAGTGGTTAGAGGTTATCAAATATAATGCAGATATTTACAAGTGGCCTGATAGCCTTATTAAGTGTCATGCTTTGAATAAACTCAAGGGTACAGCCAAAACCTGGTATGACAGTTTCATTCAGGGTGACTTGGGGTGGTCTAGTTATGCTTGGGGCCAGTGGGAGGATATATTGAAAAATACATTCCAGAGTACACGTAATGCTTATCAACTGTTGATGGAAATGGTAAATCATAGACCCAGCGAAGGTTGTTCGTTATATGATTTTTGTTTTGAACACATAGCGAGAATAAATAAGTTACGAGTAGGATTTTCAGATTGTGACAAGGTATCATTAATTATAGGTGCTATAAATGACGTTAATATAACATCAGCTGTGGAGGCAGCAAATATTCGAAATCCTCATATTTTGGCGGCATATCTGAAGAACAAAACTTATACTGGTAGGGGCAAACCGTTAAAATCAGAGGTGCAACAGTCAATCAATCAAAGTGGTCGATTGGGAGCATCTGACAATATAGTCCGGTCAAGTACGATACATCAAAATGTAAATTGCACCACATGTGGCAACAGAGGTCACGAGCGGAATGATTGTAAACATAGAAATAAGATATGCAATTTTTGCAGAATTAAGGGGCATATTGAGGTGAATTGTTTCAAGAAACGAAAGAACTCAAGTGAACCAGGCAGATGGGATAATTCAACTAAGTCTTCAAAAGTAAAACAAAAAATTGAACAGGTCAAATTAATTAAAAGTCAGAATAGTGCTTCAAAATTTTTCAAAAAAATATTTCTTGATGGGAATTTAATAGAAGCTTTTGTGGATTTTGGTAGTGATTGTTCTCTAATAAAATTGGCAATAGTGCAGGAACTAGGGTTAACGTTGAAACCTCTTGGGGAGAAGGTAACATTGTCAGGATTTATGGGTATAGGGACTGTTGTTACGCAATTTGTTGAGGTAATGACCCAAATTGATCAGGTGAAACTTAATACAAAATTTTATGTGGTTTCTAATGAAAGTGTAGACAATGATGTTCTTGTTGGGAGAAATTTCACAGAAAATAATACTATTATGTATTATCGTATAGATGACAAGTTGATATTCAAAATAAAGGACAAAAAGCCACAGTGGTTACAAAATGTCAAAACAGGGGTGTTGTCAGAACAAGATAATAAGACTCTGCAGGATATTCTAATTCAATATCAAGGTTGTATATTTTTGAATTTGAATAATTTGGGGAAGGCACACTCTGTTTCATTAAAAATAGAGTTGGTCAATGACAAACCAGTCACTCATAAGACCTATCGATTAGCAGAGATAGAAAAACAAATCATGAGAGGTAAGGTACAGGAACTTTTGGAGGCTAAAATCATACGTGAAAGTAATTCACCATATGCCAGTCCTGCTCTTCTGGTCAATAAAGGAACTAATGACAAACGACTAGTTGTCGATTACAGGGCGCTAAACAAAATAACTGTTAAAAATAATTTTCCAATGCCATTAATCGAAGAAATTATTGATAATTTGAGTGATTACAAGTATTTTACCTCGCTTGACCTAGCATCAGGTTACCATCAAATACCGATGGAGCCTGCTTCAATGAAGTATACAGCGTTCATAACACCTGAAGGGCATTTTGAGTACGTTCGTATGCCGTTTGGGCTTTGTAATGCCCCATTGGTATTTCAGAAATTTATGAATGAAATCCTTATGCCTTTAAGAAAATTTAATGTGGTTCCTTATTTGGACGACATCTTAATACCGTCAAAGACTATAGAGGAGGGGTTAGATTTATTGCCTAAGGTACTGAAAATTGTACAGGAGTATGGTATTGTAATAAAAATCGAAAAGTGTTCTTTTCTTACAGAGAAGATAGTTTATCTAGGATATCAAATCTCATACAATCAAATATCACCATCCAACCTGAAAATTGAAGCGGTGGAACAATTTCCTTGTCCTAAGACACAACATCAACTGAGACAGTTCTTGGGTCTCGTCGGCTATTTTCGGAAGTTCTTAAAAGATTTTGCGCGAATTACCGCCCCATTGACGAAGCTATTAAAGAAAGGAAGTCGGTGGTCTTGGACAGAAGTTCACACACAAATAGTCAAAGATTTAAAAGCCAAAATTTGTGCAGAACCTATTTTGGCAATATTTAATCCAAAAGCACTGACAACCGTATATACGGATGCTAGTCGTGATGGTTTTGCAGGAATTTTGATGCAAAGTACAGATGGTAAAGAGAGACCAATAGCGTATTTCAGTAGGCAAACTAATACCGCTGAGAAAAATTATCATTCTTTTGAGTTGGAACTATTAGCAATAGTCAAAACTTTGGAACGGTTCAGATTTTATTTAGTAGGCTATCAGTTCCAAATTTTTACTGATTGCAATGCGGTAAAGAACGCATTATCTAAGCAGTCGATAATTCCAAGAATTGCTAGATGGGTCTTGTCTTTACAAGAGTTTTCTTTTACCATTCACCATAAAGCAGGTACTCAGATGCAACATGTAGACGCACTTAGCCGAAACTTTAATGAATCTCAAAACAAAGCACAAGTCCTACTCATCCAAGAAGATGACTATCTCAGGGAAGCACAGGATCAAGATGAATCCATAGTGGAAATTAAAAATATTCTTTTAAGTGGGGATGTTCAGAGTCACAAAGATGTTTTTAATAATTACGATTTAAGGGGGAACAAAGTCTATAAGTTAACACCTTATGGGAGAAGATGGGTAGTCCCAAAGAAGTGTAGATGGCAAATCGTCAAAGCAAACCATGACGATATAGGTCATTTTGCGGTTGATAAAACGTTAGAGAAAATTAAGCAACGGTATTGGTTTCCCAGAATGAGGCATTTCATAACAAAATACATAAATGCATGTTTACCTTGTTTATATCATAAAGATAAAGGGGGCAAAAGACCCGGGTACCTTCACTCCATCCCAAAGTATGCTAGACCACACCACACACTACATATAGATCATTTAGGACCTTTTGTGAACACAAAACAGGGAAACAAGTATTTAATAGTTGTTGTTGATGGCTTTTCGAAATTTGTGTATTTAAAAGCAGTTCCTGATACATCTGCAAAATACGTAATTCAAATGTTAACTGAAATGTTCGCGATGCTCGGTAACCCAAGACGACTCATCACGGATCTTGGATCTGCGTTTACTTCAAAGGCCTTCGAGGAATTTGTTGCTGCAAGAGGGATACGGTTATTTACAACAGCTGTTGGTCTCCCAAGAGGCAATGGTCAATGTGAGCGGACGAACAGAACAGTTCTAGACGCTTTAGCAACATCTGGTTCGCAAACAAGTGAAGACAATTGGGATACTAATCTTTCACATATACAACAAGGACTGAATAGTACTAGACACCGTATTACACAAAACACGCCCGCAGAAGTAATGTTTGGTTTCCAACTACGGACTGATAGTGACAAATACCCTGATGACGATATGGAAACAACTCTAGATGTTACAAAAATCCGAAAAGAGACAGCCAAACGTCTGGAACACAATAGAATCGAACAAGATTTAAAATTTAACACTAAACGTTCTCTACCTAGGTTGTACCAGGTGGGAGATGTGGTATTAACTAAAGTAACCAGCTTTTCAGCGAATGAAGACAGTAAAAAGTTA